ATTGATCATTATCAAGCAAAGAAAAAAGAATTGTGGTTTTTATGGATCGAGTGTAAGTTTTTTTAATAGATTGAGTAAAAGCTTATGATGAGTTAGAACTGTTGCTCACATAAGCATATCAATCTAAAATTAGAGATTCTACCTAGACTCTTAACAAGTTAAAACTCGTGGAGGGGTGCCAAGATTTTCATATCATGACAGGGTTGCACGAATGATTGTCAATAAGCTATTCTTATTTGCAACATTTATGGATAAGTTAAATAAGTTATTAGCAGTTAATATCATGCTTGTGTACAAGCTAAGGGTTAAATGCTAAGTTTGAATTATGGGGACATGAGGTGAAAACACAAGGATTATGTTAAGTCTAAGCTAAATGGAGTATTTGAAGTGCAAATTTAGCATGACTGAGGTTAAGAAGTGTGTGGTGAATTCGGATAGGAAAGAAGTATCACTCCATTCACTCAGTGATTGCTTTAAGTGCTTGGGATCTATTATACAAAGAAATAAAGACATTGATATGACTATTATAAGGTTGGCTTTAGCATTGAGATCTAAGAGTTGGATAATGATGAAATATTCGATAAAGAGAATGAATGTGGCAGAGATGCATATGTATTTTTTGGGGCAATAAGGAGATGCATATGTTACGTAGGGTGTGTGGTGTGACTAGAAAAGCTAGAGTGCGGAGAGTGATTCCCTGGAATGTAGGAGATATATGGTGTGTAAGTGTGTGGTTGATGGGAAGAGAAGGACATTCCCTCATTTGGTTCACTCCCACTTTTTTTAACTTATAAATAAGATAAAGTCAATTTAACTTTATAAAAAGTTTTACATTCTTTAATTAATCACTCATTAGCTTATACTCTCTGACCCAAAAAAATTGTTCTCATTTCCTGTTTGGGACGTCCCAAAAAAGGTTCTAATTTTCATTTTTGGGAAATTTTTGTGGCATGTATTCTTTTTCTCTCATCTGCATCACTTGGAACCATACTATTCCGTGCAGGGTCAAACTAGGACCCTTTTTTTGGGACGGAGGGAGTACTACTTAACATATATTTTTTGGGGAAAAAACTTTCAATTACTAATCAGCTTAAATTAAAATTAAAAATATATATTAATAAAACCACTCTCTTGGACGAAACAAGGTTCATTAAAAATATTCCTTTCCCTCCCCTCACCCCTCCTCAAACCAAACACCTTAAGGAGAAGTTGAAGTAAAGAAAAAAGGACTTGGGTGGAAGGGTAAAGAGGGATATTAGAATGTTTGGGATGGAAAAAAGAGGATTTCTCTTGATAACCTCGGTAGATTTTCTATTGGTTCATGTAACTGATCCCATTGAATTGAAATTAAGGTATGATAACTATTGCTTGTTGTGACGTATCTATGTTTTTATTGTAAAACCTACCTTTATCTTTAAATTCATCAATATAAATTGCTATATTGTTTTCTGTTTGCACATTTTATACAATTATTTCTTATTCGCTGTACATGTTTTTCTTTGTGCATTTATATAAATTATGTCAATGGTAATACAATACAAGAGTAAATAATTCTCCATGGATTTACTAAACTGAATTCAAAAAAAAAGGATCACAGAAAACCTCAAAAAATGGAAACTTAAATAGAAAAGGAGGCAGTATTTTGTAAAATTGATGGGCATTGTGTGGCCTAGCATTGCTGATTCCTTCCCCCAAGAACCGGAGATGTATTTTGTCAACTAGAGGGCCCCTTATCATTATTAATAGCTACTGATGTAGTTAAAAGAGTTGGAGTATCTAATATTTGCATCCATGATAGCTTATCTATGCATTAGTGTCAAACAGCATTTGCAGTTTTTTCCCTTTTTAAGACTGCATGTTCTAATAAAAAGTACGTGTCTACTTGAACATGTTGAAGTATTTGCTTTTATTGAAAAAGGTAAACATCCCCACCTCAAACGAAAGAAGACCCTTAGAATTAAAGGAGACAATGTAACGAATAAGAGGAGGCTATCTTGAAGTTGAAACCATTATAACTTCACTTCCCATCTTTTCAGAATCTTATTGATTTAAGTTATTTTTAAACAAACAGGGTCTTGTTAAAAGGGAAACAAGATTTACATCGAAACATCCTGCTTCAGTTATTATCTCAAAAATTGAAGAAACTGCAGTACCTTTGGGCTTCAATGTGAAGAAAAATAAGCATAAGGTGAATATCTAGATTTTGTATTTTCCATTCTTACTGATTATTAATACTCCGTATTATTCTTTGTTCAATAAAATACATTTATTTTATTATTCACTAGTTCGGTAGTTCCTTACCTTGGTAAAACAAAATACTTTTAATGTGATGGAGTATTTGAGAATTTAAAGCTAATTAATTTAATCATGCTCCCTCTGCACTGTTGGAACTTGCCATTCTTCAGTGTAAATTACACTAAATGTTGGCAAGTTTCAGCGGATTGGAGGGAGTAGCATTTTAGAATCACATTTGGTTTGTTTTGTGAACAAGTAGTTTAGATGTTTGCGAACCTGTAATTAACTTATGTTCACATCATCTACACACAGTGCCTTGTTTCTGTGGTTTGCTTTTATTTACTTCAACTTCTCCTTGTGAAGAACTAATGTCTAAGGAATAGAGATACATAATAAACTTGAGTTTTTTCTTTAAGCTGGTACTGGGTTGATGTTGTTTCTTATAAGCCTTTTTTAGTGTTAACTATGTGAATTATTATTAAATGTGCCAATCGCCATTATATCTCTAACAGCTAAAGCTTCACGGAGAGAAGTCTGGCCGCAAGGGTCATTTGTCAATTGCGACTGAGGTACTAGTTTGTACACAGCACAACAAGATTAATGATTTGTTAGACGCTCAGTTATTAACTGTTAGTATTTCAATGCAGATTCTTGAAGTTACTCCTTCGCTTCACATAGTAGAGCTTCGCAAGGCTGGAGGGGATACCTTGGAATTTCACAAGGTGCAGAATGGTTTATCTGCCACACTTAAAGTTCAGCTTTTAGAGATGCCAGATCTAATTTACTGTGTAGGCTTTGTCATGTCAATAATGAAGCTTCTTAATATCGCCTTTGTTATTATGAACACAAAGAACCTTACTTGGGGGGTGTGTAAAAAAATAGTTTATTGGGGAGCTTTTTGGGCTGAAGTGTCGCTTACTAGAAGTATTTGGTTAAAACTTTTTGGGAGTTTTGTTTGTCCAAAAAAAACTGGCTTACTAGAAGCTTGTCATTCAAACATTTTGGAGAAGCTGGTTAGAGCTTTTAGCAGCAACTTGTTTTCTAGTTCAGTTTACAAAAAAAACTTGTTTTTAAGCTATTTTGAACAACTATCTGAACAGCTATTGCAAAACTCAACTGTATTGCAAATAATGTCAAAAATTTGTTGTGGCATAGAACCTCTCTCGATGGGATTTCCAATTGACGATCCCAAATGTTCTCTACCAAATTATTTTCTCAATGGATTATTATCAGGATGCATTTTCATGCTTGAATGTATATGTACACGAAAGATCAGTGCACTTGATATGGTTACTTTAATTTCTAATTGTAGTATGATTTTCATTTGCTCTTTTTCTTGTGTCCTCCATCCAGTTCTATAAAAACCTCTCGACAGGGTTGAAAGACGTGGTCTGGAAAACTGAGGAAGCAACCGAAGTTGGTAAGTGCATTTTACCTGCTGTCGCGAGTGACCTTTCCCCTCTTGTGATGCTCCCCATATCTGACGGTGAATTCAGACTACATTGCAAATCGGGAAACGAACGATTTTTCCACATTTTGTATTTCTGTTCTTGTGCAGGTGGTGCAAGCAGTGGTTGAGTTGGTGACTGGTGCAATGTCGCAACCACTTCTGTATTTGCATTGGATTTTTGCAGAGAAACCCCTTTTTTCCCTCTCTTGGAAGATCTTTTATAGTTGTTGAATACACAAGTGAAACCAAGTAAATTGTGTATTATCTATCAAAGTTTAGAACAATGTTGGGGGAGTAAGGATCTATTTTTGTCTATCAAAGTTATACTCAAATTTCCAGGTGCAGCTGCCATATTATGAAATATTTTGTATAATAGATGAAATATTCTGTAATATGTAATGAGACATTATGTATTGCATTATGAAAGTGTGAGAAATATTGTGCCCTTGCTTGATACATAAGGTATATATGACTGATATTCTAGAAATATATTCTTGCAAATTCAAAGGAGTTTTGGTACTTCTCATCATCATATCATATTCTTGTCTTTCATTGACATTGCCAAGTTCTCTAAATTGGCTTATTTTCTTAATTGGTTTGTAAGAATTGGAGTCTTTGAGAAAAAAAAAAAAAAGATTACCTACTAGTGGGTGGGGGCTGGCAAAATCAAATTTTTTCCATGTGCACTTTTGTTCCATGTGCTGGGATAGTCAAATTTTTTCATGGTCTTTAGATCCACACTCATTTTATAGATCTTAGTATATAAATATAATACGGAGTAAAAAGGTTGTGTTTTTTGTAAAAAATAAAATATTTTCATGTTGGCCCATGAAAAGTGTGAGAAGGTCTAAATTTTACATGTAGATCTTTGGATCTTGGAAACACAACTCGCTAGAATAAGTTAATTGCATTGAGATTTTTTGATTTTTTTCACAAGAAAAACTACCATCTTCGATTTCACTTGATGGTCACCTGACTTCACTTTGCATCTCAACCTACACGGGTTAAATCCAACTAATAAATTTAACTCTGAGAAATTAATACTTAATTACTTACAAGTTGCGAGATTCAGAAATAGAAAATAATTTTTCTTAATCACTTTTTTGATCTATCTCATAGCAAACTTGGTTGTGTCTACGCCGCCTTTGATGAATATGAGGCACAGTTCCAGATATCAAATTGAGTTTGATTTGAGAACAACAAGTTTTGGAAAGTGAAGTTGCCAATTAAAAATCAATTTTTGTGTGAAGTGCAAACGCTTCCAACTCGCTCAATTACCCAATCCACAGAATCACGTGGTAGCCAATTACTACCAATCAAATTGCCACGTGTCATTTCAACACAGAGATGATGAAAGTAAAATGAAGGAGAAAACCCCTCCCTCCCGTCTCTGAAACACCCCCCAAAATGGCACCACCACCGGCAGCAGCGGCACTGCTCAATCCCTCCTCCATCTTCATCTCTGCACACAAACCTTCTTCTTCTTCTTCTTCTTCTTCTTCTTCTTCTTCTTCTTCTTCTTCTTCTTCATCATCAGACCAGGTGCCAAACAGCCCCTTAGTAAGACCAGCAAAACCCAAAGCTCTCATCCTCCAAGAACAACACCCACCACAGACCCTCCAACTGAAGGACAAGATCCTGTGCCTGGAGACCATGGGCGTTGACTCCGGTCAAGCCCTCTCCCAGAACCCCTCCCTCCGCGCCGCCCCACTCCACTCCCTCCACTCCCTCCTCTCCTTCCTCCTCTCCAAAGGCATCCACCAAAACGACCTCAGGAGAATCTTCGGCATGTGCCCCGACATCCTAACCTCCGACATCGAATCCCACCTCAACCCCGTCTTCCTCTTCCTCTCCCAAGATCTCCACATCCCACACCCCAATTTCCGGAGAGTCATCAAGAAATGCCCCAGACTCCTCGTCTCCAGCCCGGAAAACCAGCTAAAGCCGGCCCTTTTCTTCCTCAAGAATCTCGGCATCAAGGATCTCCACTCCCTGGCCTACCAAGACCCAGTCTTGCTCGTCTCCAGCGTCGAAAACACCCTCGTCCCCAAGCTCGATTACCTGGCCAGCCTGGGGTTTTCAAGAACCGAGGTGGCAGGGATGGTGGTCCGGTGCCCGGGGCTCCTCACGTTCAGCATTGAGAACAATTTCAAGCCGAAGTTCAGATTCTTCGCGGACGAAATGGGGCGCGGCCTGGAGGAGCTGAAGGAGTTCCCACAGTACTTCACATTCAGCTTGGAGAAGAGGATCAAGAAGAGGCACATGGAGGCCGTGCAGAGGGGAGTGGTGGAGGGTCTTCCATTGGGGATGATGCTCAAGACTAGTGATGAAGAGTTCTGTCATTTGATGATGAAGAACCATCAGAGATTTGAAAGTTAGGGAAACGATATATAAGTTTGAGCTTTTGGTTGAATTGGTCTATTAAAACTTGCAAAAAAAACTTGTGTTTAAGGGGGGATGTATGCATGCACTCAAGCCTGTACTAAGAAAGATACTCATCAAGCTTGTGTTTACATTAATAGATCATAACCATTAGGTGCTTTATAACATATAAAATAATGTTTTCACTTATAATGAAGAGTTCTGTCATTTGATGAAGAACCATCAGAGATTTGAAAGTTAGGGAAAGGATAATTGTAGTGAAATTTAATTAGATTTTGAAGTACAAATTCAATTATAATAAACTATATATGAACTAAAATCTAATCAAATTCTATGATAATCCTACATTCCTACTCTAGCCTAGTAGTGTTTAGTTTTACTCCATTGATATTGCAGATAACTGAAGCATTTCTCTTGCTCATTTCTTGCTGTGTTCTCATGTTTATATTTCGAAAAAATTGTGAATTACAACTCAGTATAATCCTAATTTTTTTTAGTATGGGAGTTATGATGTGGAGTTGGAAAATAAAAAAACTTTGTTGGACACACAATCACGGGTTTTTACATCAAATTATTCTACAATTTAAAACTATAAGTTTGAATTTTTTGTTTGAATTGTTTAAAACTATAAGATGTACCGTCGAACGACCAGAGATATGTTACAACAAAAACATTGTCTCATGAAAACTTATTTCTTAAAAAATGTGTACATTACTATACTTTTTGGTAATGTACATGATCATGTTTTGTTATGTAAATGCATTTTAAGTCCTATTTGAAAAAAAAATATTAAAATCCTATTTTGATACTTTTCTCTATGCTTTAGTTTTATTTAGAGTGTTTTCTACTTTAATGTTCTAGCTACATTGTCTTTTTTATCTGCCCTAAAATAAGGTAATCTCTCTGTTCTTAAAAAATTGACACACTTTGATTTTATTGGTCAAATTGTGACATTCTATTACCACAAATTAAATATAGTTTAGAATAATTAAATATTATAAAAATTTATCATTTCAAAATTATATTTTAAAATAAACCTAATTTTACTTAATTTACATTATAATTAAATATATTTTTTTATAATTTGTTGTCAAAGGGTGTCATAATTTGCATAAAAAAATCAAATTGTGGCAATTTTTTAAGGACGAAGGGAGTAATTTTTCATTCACGGTAATATTTTTGTGACTTACATTAATTTTCTTGCTTCTTTAATATTTTTAATTATGTAATTTCATTTTTCTTAATTTCATATTTGATCAATATCAATTACTCCGTAACACATATTCCGTAATTTAGGAGAAGAAAAGGATGTAGGACCTGTTTGGGAATAACATTAACGATTAACATTAACGTTTTAGACATAATTTTAACGACATAAATGATATTGGAAATGTTAACGCTAAACACTGTTCATAGATAATTTTTTCGAAATGTTAATGCTATTACCATATAGGGAGGTGATCTAAATAAAATTTCATAATTAATAGAGTACGTAAGTTCGAATAATGAAAGCGGGCAGGAAAAAGGAGAGCCCTCCAACTCCAAGATCTTCTTCATCGAGAAAACTGGAAAATTCTTCCCATTTCCCGGGGTTGAAAATCAACCAAATGTTTCAGGCCCGTAACGACCCGCCTCACGCAAACGCCTCTCCCCATTTTCTTCATCTTTCCACGGCTTCTCCGGCGACATTTTCCCGTTCTTGAGGTTGATCTGCTCTTCCCTTCCCTTTCTATGTCGAAATGCATTAATTTCCCAGCAGGTCCGTGCATCAATTCCTCATAATATACCGCTCGATCGTCCCGTTTTGGCCGTCTGTTCGTTAGTTTTATCTGATCTTGCGTCTGGTTTCTGGATTCGAGGGTGGGATTTCAGTTTCTTGGCATGCTTTGAGGTCATTGTGTTGAATTTCGAAATGCATTTTCGGATGTGGGAATCTGGGGTTGCTTAATATGGAGGTTCTTGAATGTGGATTTTGAGTTAGTAGTTTGGTTTTCGCGGTGTGGGGATGAAATGAATTGGAAAGGCTTTCAGCATTCTTTGTGAAGTTTGGGGCACTTTTTTTTTTTTTGAAAGATGAAGAGGTCCAAAATTGAGGCTCAGAGTGGAAGGAGGATTAAGCTATCCCATATTTTCTTGTGTTTAGGTGCATTGTACTTGATTCTTATATGCTTGAAGTTTCCTGAGTTCTATGAGAGTGCCACAACTTTGGGAGGTGATGAGGGTGTTGTGGGTTTGGATGGATTCTTAGATGAAGGTGAAGCACTTAGTAAACCGGACATGGGTAATGCGGAGGGATTGCAGAATGACAAAACAAATATGCCAAAGATCCCAAGAGACGAAGATTTTTCAGGGGACACCGATATGCCTGTTAAAAAGCCTCGTATGTTTGGATATGATAAAATATCTTCTGGTGTTTTGAAACCACTGAATATGAGTAGAAACTTTTCTGTCTTTGAGAGAATGGCAGTTGAAGCTTGGACATTAGGCTTGAAGGCCTGGGATGAAGCAGACAGATACGATGAGAAGGAAATGGGGATAAAGAATTCTATATTTGAGGGGAAGCCCGAGTCATGTCCTTCATCGGTTACCAAGACAGGAGAGGAATTGGCTAAAGAAGATCGCATTATGCTCCTTCCTTGTGGCCTTGCTGCTGGTTCTTCTATCACTGTGATTGGCACTCCACATTATGCACACCGTGAATATGTGCCCCAGCTTGCCAAGTCAAGGAAAAGTGATGGAATGGTTTCAATATCTCATTTTTCATTTGAGTTACAAGGAATAAAAGCGGTGGTTGGGGAGGACCCTCCAAAGATTTTGCATCTAAATCCCCGTTTAAGGGGAGACTGGAGCCGTCAGCCAGTGATTGAGCATAATACATGTTATAGAATGCAATGGGGGACGTCTCAACGGTGTGATGGTATTCCTTCCAAAAGTGGAGAGGACGTGCTTGGTAAGAGCTCATGATCTATTGGTCCATCACATCAATCATCTCCTTGAAAAGAGTTTTATTCAAATGGCATAACAATTATTTATCTTAAACTTACATGGCATAATGTTGCGAACCCCTAAAAGCAGAAGGGGAACTACCCAAAAAAAAACAATTGACCCCCACCCCCCACTCGCAAATAAAAGTCTTGTTTATACTACTGAAACCAGTATTACAAAGAAGACTTTGTGTTCCGGGATGGAAGGAGTAATTATCAAAGAATTGGATTATAAAGCTGTCAAATTAAAGTAACCTTGAAATATAGAAGAAGAGTTTGAGCTTAGGAATAACATTGATATTCTCATTTGGAGTTGTATAATGATTGGAATGGACTACTGGAGAAACAAAGCCCTTAATGTGCAAGTGCAACAACTTAGAACAGTAATCAGCACATGGCATTTTTTTAATTGTCATTGGATAGTGGATACACTTGTACACCTGCTCTTATGTAAACTTATCTGCTTGTATTGGAGATATCAGCATGTTGGCTGTATATTTTTTCTAATTCAGTGTTAATTTTGTACGTTCCAGTTCTGTTGCTAGACATGAATTCCGAGAGACTTGCTTTTTCCTATTCTGTTACTATGGTTCTCCATGGATGCTTTTCCTAGGAAAACACAGACTATTATTCTTCATTTTTGGCCTTTCTTATTTAGTACTGTAGTAGTGTCTCCCAAGTTTTCCATGCACTGCATTTGTTTAAGATAAAATACCACTGAGCATGATGCACATTCTTGTAGTTGATGGACTTCCGAGATGTGAAAAGTGGATGCGGAGTGATATAGTAGATGTGAAAGAGTCCAAAATGTTTTCATGGTTCCAGCGATTCATAGGGCGTGCCAAGAAGCCGGAGGTGACCTGGCCTTTTCCATTTGTGGAGGGAAGAATGTTTATAATGACTGTTCGTGCTGGTATTGATGGGTTCCATATAAGTGTTGGTGGTCGTCATGTGACCTCATTTCCATACCGGGTGGTATGTCTGTTTACTCCATGATCGGGTGATTGAATTGATAAATTGTGGTTATTTTATCAAATCTTTCAGATGAGGCAGCCTTGCATACAATGGGCTTGAGTTTTATCATTTTGAAGTGTCTGAATCTTGTTTACAATGAAGTTATAAAACTAATATACTTATCAAAAACTCACAGTCTCCCATGAGCATTGCAGGTTTATGGGAAGAGGACTTGAACAACCTAACCTATATTAAATTAAAAAAGTAAACAATTTCTCGTAGATGATAGGAAAAACTTGGTATTGAAGTGAATATATAGATGTTACCTGAGTACATCTTTGAGATTTTATTAAAATTGAAATGAACACGTTACAGGTGATCATATAACATTTCGATAACCTTTTAGTCTTTTGCTCATTGTTTTGAAACATTCTCTCTATCAATATATAAGACTAAGCCCTCCAAAGCTTTTCCTTCCCAAATCTTCGAAAATTTTCTATAAAATCATACCGTTGGTGGCAGTTTTTGTCAAGGAAGAATTCCTACTAACACCTTGAATATGAACTTTACACACCCATCCATTGTTTTTGTTTCATTTAACACTCTTTTTCCTTCTACTTTGAACATGGATTTGACATCTATGTCTATTGGGATGCCATACTGTTATTTGTTGCATCTTCATTTCAGTTGACTTGAGAATGCCATTTTTTTAAATAGACGTTCTCTGTTTTTCAGGGCTTCACGCTAGAAGATGCGACAGGATTGGCAATTGCAGGTGATGTTGATATTCATTCAGTTTATGCAACATCTCTGCCCACATCTCATCCAAGTTTTTCACCACAAAGGGTATTGGACTTCTCTGAGAAGTGGAAGTCTCTTCCTTATCCCCAGAAGCCTATTAAACTTTTCATTGGAGTCCTATCTGCCACCAATCACTTTGCAGAACGCATGGCTATAAGAAAAACTTGGATGCAGTCTCAAGCAATCAAGTCCCTAAACGTAATGGCGCGTTTCTTTGTTGCATTGGTAAGCTTCCCTCTATCTTTCTGTCTTGGTTAACTGCAGATCGTTTCCCTACTCGTATCCTGTAAAAATGATGAGATTGAAAATAGCAGGTTCATCAAATGGAATGTAAAGTTAACACATTGACTTGAACCCACTCTAGGCATGCTATTAATGATAAATTTGTATAGAAAATAAGCCTCAAAAGAATTTCATTGGAGGAGAATTCAAATAAGGAGATGAGAAAAGGATTAAAACGAAAGATGGAAA